ACACCCAGAACTATGCTAAACCAATTTAAGTTAACACATACCCTTAATCCATATTCATATACCCTAGATTCAGCTAGCTCTGAAAGATCCCACCTATGAGCACATAAGGCTTTGGGGGAACATCTAGATATAAGCCATAATACTGGCACTGGCTGCTATAGTAGTGGTGAGAGGCCTAATGCACCTGTCTTCTAATTAGACAGTGGTGAGGGTACAGGTGCTTCATAAGGAGAGGTAGGGGAGGAATCACAACACCCCCTCAATGGTACTCACACAAAGTCATGGTAGCAGTGTATGACAAATTGCAAGGGCTACTGATGCAGGGGACGGCACAGGTGAAGTGGCAACAAAGTTATGACACTCCTCTTTGCTGCTACTATGGTTATGCCTGCCCAGAAATAAGACCTCAGAATCCCCCAGCTGTGCAGCATGAGGTGGGATAAGGACCGGTGCCCCCCCACATCCCCAATTTTTGAGTAGATTACTGCAGGAGATGAAAAAATTTCTTGCAGCTGATATGCTCACAGGACAGAACAAGAGCAGAATGTAGCCATTGTCAAGTAAGGTTTCTTTTCAGATCTTCTTAAACTGTGCACCTTGGGCAGGGGGTGCTGAAAACTGCCCCCATCATGCCTCTGTGTGCAGGAAAGCTATAATATCTCAACATTCTGTGTTCATCTTTTTAGCAAAAGGTGCTCATGTATAGCCCTGAGAGCAGGGTGGTGGGAACCTAGTAAGCAACCATATTTAGCCCTGGTATGCACAAGGAAATCACACACAACAGGCCCCACACCAGGTCTCAGGGGGCAGGCTCTCTAAACCCCCAGGTCTTGTGAATAGCACCATCAGTTCCTCTTCAATAACACCCATTCTCCACTGCGTAGCACTCTCACTGACCAAAGTAAGGCTTCTGAAGTCTCCACCCACTGAGCCAACACATGGGACTGCCTGTGGGATCCCAGAAATAGGAATACACAGGATTTCTAACCACTAGAGCAAATTCAGACAACAGGTCCTTTCTCAAGATGATTCCTAGCACCCTAGCAGTTCCCTCAGAGATAAAGTGAATTTCTTCGCCAAAGCCAGATGACTGTAGATTTCCAGCCCCTTATTTAGGCTGTAAGCCTAAAAGGGCTGAGAAACTTCCCAATAGCTAGAATTGTCTGCATCTTCACTGACAAGAATTTTCTGGGTTTACCCCGTCTAACTTCATCCTCATGGAGAGGAGACTCCCCCACCTTAAGCTATGAAATCGGGGTGAAAGGATATTTTATTTCTCTTGCTATGCTGCTGCCCTGAGTCTCTAAGTTTAAACAAGATTTACATTTTTCTAATATTGAATTCCAGGTTCTTCAGCAGTAACTGACCTAAATATGCAGCTATACGCCTCTTACTCTGTTTGTTTTTCTGGTTTTTTGTTTTTGATGAAGAGCAGTTCTACCCTTGTTCAGCCATCTTATTTGCCTGAAATTTTTATTTTTCACCAGCTGATAGATAGTTGGGTTGTTCCCAGTTTGAGAAAATTGTAAGTCTTTCCTCCCATCAATATTCTATTTTCTTATGATATTATCTCATGTTTATTTTTCATGGTATTGCTTCCTTCTAGCATAGTCATTTCCTGAAATTATTTTTCCCTTTATGTCTATTTCCTGAGTGGTATTTTACCACTTTTAAAAATCTTCCTTCCCTTTAATTATCACATTGGAATTTTTCTAATCTCAGATTCATCTATTTCATTGCTTTTATAATTTTTAATTATATCAGTTTTGGGATGAACTGGAAACATTAGATATTACTTTTATGTGTTTGTGGGCATATTTTTGGAATATTTTAACTATCTCTAAAGATTTTGCTCTTTTCTTTTTAAAAATGATAATTTTGTATGATAATCAACCTTAGCTATTGCTCACTTTTTCACTATTATTGTGGCTAATACTTTTAAGGACATTTGCAATTACAAATAATATAGGAAACTTATTAAGAACAGAAAGTATAGTATTAACAACACATGTAATTATACACCTTCTGCAATCTGTAGAAAATAGGTAACATTATTATTGGCTACAAATTTTATAAAGTCAGTACATATTTAACCTTACTTTACTGAAGACCAAAATTTAAAAGTTTCTTCGAGTTTACAGTAAGGTAATATTACAATTCTAAGTTTCTAATGATCATACTCTATATAAAGATGTAAATAATTGAAATAAAAATTAGTATTTTGGCCTGAAATACTTACCTTTTCCAAGTAGATTTTTCTCTACTTTGGATTCCATCTTTTTGAAGTGAAAGAAAATTAGAAATATTTCTGACCACTAATACTGCCTTAGACCAGTAAAAGAATCGCCAACATGAACAAGTTAACTTTTATATACTTTTATATATTTTCCAAGGCTTTTCACTCATGCTAACTTGCTATCAAGTAGGTAGGTGGAAAAAGATGTGATTTTTGGTTATCAAGGAATATCTGTAGCAAAACTGATGGGCTCCTCAATGGCAAAGTAAATCCTTGTGTGTTGCTGAAATGATGAACAGGTCAGTTTGCAAAGTTAAGGTAAGGGGAATCTCAAGCAAGTGAGCAGAAAGGTTTACATTCTCTGTTTTGACATGTCACGAGTCCAAATTATATAATTAATTTATAGACTCCAAACAAATGAAAATGCCAGCCAGAACAACTCAGAAATTTCATGTTCGTGACACAGAAGAAAAGCATGTGTTCTGAAGACCAGACCCTGTCTGTGCAGCTTCACTAGGTGCCTGAACGCTTATCAGGATGTCAGCCCCAGCAGCACACAGAGAATTTCTAGTGTGTTAATCACACAAGTATCTTTCTGTTTGGTTTCACTCTGTCATCTAGCACAGTGTTGAAGTCCTGAAATTGATCCTTGATTAACAAGAAGCTCTATAGGAGTTTTATTTTGTTTTGTTAGTGTGTGTGTGTGTGCGTGTGAGAGAGAGAGAGAGAGAGAGAGAGAGAGAGAGAGTCTGTCTGTCTGTCCGTCTGTCTGCCTGTCTGTGTTCTGCTTGTTCTAGCACATGATGGGGAAAGGAATGTTTTCACCATATTTGTTATATAGAAAACTCTTAGTTACCAAAGCCAAGTTTCTGATCCTAAGCTGCCTCCACCTCACACAGAACCATTTGAAGATCAAATAGTGAAGCAAATAAAATAGGGAGTCAGAATCCTCACAACTGTCTGATACTGCTAAAAATGTCTGTTTCCAGAGAAGCTTCACACCTGTCTACTTCCATAATTGATCAAAACCTACCCCGTCTAAATTATATCAGGTCAACAAGGTAACTAATACTTTTCATCTTATATCAGTCAAAGAACTCTAAGCAGAAGTTGTATTTGTCATTTATTAAATGGAAACTAAATTAATTATTTCTGAATAAATTTAATTTATCCACATATAACTTCCACAAACAAGGACTCAATTATCTGATCATAACCAGTCCTGTCTGCCACTCAAACACATGTGATAACTTAAGGTACCTATTTTGAGACACATATTTTGACCTATGCACTGGACAAGCCATTATTGAATCACAGCATAAACCTGATTGATTTAAACTTCACAACCAGAAAAATTACTTATTTTAATTTGAGATCATAATTGATTATTTTCAAAGTCTTGATCTCTGCTACATATTTTATTACTTGATAATAAAATACAAATACCTCTTTTTTGATACTGGAGACTGAACCCAGCGCCTTCACTCTGAGCTGCGTCCCAGCTTTCCTCTCTCTCCCTCTCTCTCTCTCCCTCTCTCCCTCTCTCCCTCTCCCTCTCTCACAGGACCTTGCTATGTCAGTAAGTTTGCCAGGCTGGTATTGGATTTGTGATCCTCCTTCCTCGCATTCCACAGTGCTGAGACTACAGGTGTGCACCACCATGCTTAGCTTAAATAAAAACATATTGTATGTTTATTTTTTAAAACACTTTGATGATTTGTTTAAAAAGTATTATAGCTTTTTACTCTGTATTTTGGTTTTTGTAGAAACAATGATTTTGATTTTGTGATTTTTTTTATGTTAAAATTGAACTGTGTTTTTGGTACAATAAAGACAAAGCTTCTCCTTTATTCTACATTTTGAAGGATTTGCCAAATTAACTATAATGGCACTGATTTACAAAGCACTATTCAGCATTAAAATTAAAGCATGATGAATATTGCTTTCCATATAAAACACCATGAAAATACTTAGACAGATTTCCATGAATCTTATTGGCATTAGCACTATTACTATACTTGCTTTATAATCAAATATATTCAAGCTTTTATCAAATCTTAATCACTTCTAAATTTTTAAAATACCCATATATCTGCCCTTATCCACCTATGATGTCATTCCACATTAAAATGTCAAAAACAAAATGCCTTCAATTCTTTAAAAAAAAAAGTTAGCTATAGATCAAAATCCCAGTAGCTATCCCTCATTGCCAGCAGCGTGGCTGTTCCAGGGTGAATTACCATCTCTCACCAACTCTTCTGATCTAGATAGATGGACAGTCAGTAAATTTAGTCACATGTTTAGGATTTATACTTCACATACTCCTAAAGTAGGTTTGGGTGAGGCTATGTTATATAATTTAAAAATAGGACAGACTTGACAAAAATAGGTCAGAGTAGCTATAAAGGACAAAAATGGGATTAGGACTCTAGGATTTACCGTATTTTTCCCCCTGGCATCAGCAACACAAAGGAAAATGTTTGTGAGTCAGTTTTGCTTTTAAAATTGTAGAAAGCATATACATTTATTTTCAAATTAATTTTCAAGGAGAATTTTAGGGATTTTGAGCAAGCCATGCTTGATAACAATTTGGCAAATAATAATGAAACTAGTATTCCAATAGCTCATTCTCACATCCACATCACCGTATTATCTAATTGCTGCATCTTTCAGAAAAAAATACTGTCCTAGTCATTTTTCCTATTGCTGGAACATAATACCCAACCCCTATAACTTAAAGGAAGAGAGGTTCAGCTTGGCTCACAGTTTGTAGAAGTTTTGGTCCATGTTTAGCCAGCTTCAAGGCAGGATGACATATTAGAAAAGCGTAGCAGAGGAACAGCTATCCATGTCACGGCAGTGGGAAGGAAGCAGAACATCATGGCAGAAATCAGCAAGGGAGATACAACCTTTCAGTTCATGCCCACGGTGACCAGACTCTTCTAACTATATCCTACCTCCTAACAATAAGTCAGCTACAATGCTCTTATAATCCAATCACCTTTCAAAGGCCCTACCTATGATTGCATGAGTCTCTAAGGGAACATCTAGATATAAACTATAACATTCTACCCCCATATCCCCAAAAAGACTCATGCACATCTCTTTATGCAAGTTTCATTTAATCCATCTCTGTGAGTTGCCAAAGTCCTAACAGTTCTAACATAGCTGGAAAGTCCAAATCCAAAGTTTCCTCTGAGACTTAAGGCAAACTCTTAGCTGTGAACCTCTGTAAATATCAAAAAGAAGTTAAACACTGTGAGCTACAATGGTACAGGGTAAACATTTCTATTCCAAAAGCAGGAATAGGGGGATAGAAACCAGTGGGACCAAAGCAAGACCAAATCTCAACAGGGAAAATATTGAATCTTATAGCTCCATGTCCAGCACCGAGGACAAATTGTGATTAGATAAGAACTGCAAAGGGCTTGAGGGGCCCCACTGACACAGCCTTACCAGTGGTTGTAGCCCTGGTAGCTTCTCTGCTGGACAAGCTCTGTTCACTCCTTGCAGTTTTCTTCAGATATTCTACATTCTTGGCTACTCCAATTTGCTGGGGTAACCACTCAGCTTTCAGCCTCACTCTTACAGTCTCACACACTGCCCTCTTAGGGGCATACTGCCTGGGCTCCCAGGCCTTCTTCTGAGATCAAGTGGAAGCCTACATAACCTGAAACTCTTGCATTCAGCAATTCTGTAAAACCAGCACCATGTGTTTGACACCAAACTCTACTGCTGGCTCAAGCAGTAACTAGACCCTTTTGCATCATGGCTACAGGGGCCTTTAAGTTCCTGGATGGCTATGCACTATGAATGGAATGCCAGAAGGCCAATATCCTAGGCAGCTTTTCTGGAAGAAGGTACCCTGGAACTCTCTTCTTAGTTTTATGTCCTCTGATACAAAGTACTTGGCTTCTTTTTTATATTAATTTTTTCAACAACCAAGATCTTTTCTGCTCCAACTTTACAGGCCCCAACTTTATAGGAGCTTCCTTTTTGGTGAGATTCAAAACTAAAAATCACTCAGCTATCCCACCATCACCACAATTACCATTTCTTCTTTTGGGTTAAACGACATTGCAGAAGATTTAGAACATTCACCCTTACAACCACTGGAGGGTTTAATAATATGAATATCAAACACATGAGTCGTGTTTTCCTTTTTCTAAGTTTTCAAATATATTACTTCAATTGTAGTTCACAATCACCTAGTGAGGTAAGTGGTAAATACTATTATGCTCATTTGAACAGAAACATTGAATAAGATTACGTAAGTCAATGAATTGCTGCAGTACATATGAATGTAGTCTCACAGTCAACCAAGGGAGGAGAATGTACAGTCTCTGCAAGGCAGCTGAGCAATATGTACTAAAATATACCAAAATGTATCAATTCCAATTTAAAATATTTTAGACAAGTGTACAAAAACATATACTAAAAATAACACTCACAACAGTTTTTGTAAAAGGAGAAAATAAAAGCAACTTATATGTCCATCTCTAAGAGACTAGGAAAATCTACTAAGGAACACTCAGGTAATGAAATATTATGCAGCATTAACAATGACAGTATAGAGGTCTAGTTAAAAAAATAGGGATATATAGCACAACTTATGTATAAGTTAGACAAAAGGTATGGAGGAAGAAAAGCTAAGACATCCACTATTCATTAGAACTCTGGAATTACAGAAATGGTCTTCCATCCTGTTTAGTACAATGTCAACAGTACCAAGGAACTTAATTTTTAGTTTTAAGTTTAAACTATTTAATTTTAAACAGCCACATGTGGCCAGTGGCTACCATATTGAATAATTCAGTAGACAATTCTTTTGTGTTATTTTTGTGAGTAGGAAATTATGTAAAATCAACAGAAACAACAACCTGTATCTAAGAGACAACCAAAAGACACAGGATTAAATTAGTCAACAACAGCTTTACTTAAGGAGCTGCTGTGCCTGTAGCATGAGGCCTTGGTGCAAGTTTTATGTGTGTGGTTTCCATACCTGGGCATGATTATACTAATTTGGAAAGTTTCCTGATACCAGTCCACACACTAGCAAATAAGTAGCTTTATGCCAAGAAAGCTATATCTTTTATGCTAGTGCTTCAGAATAGGCCAGAAAAAAAGGGTAATAAACAGAAGGAAGCAGGAATTTGAAACTGGAATACTGAGAACAGGATTATGTTTTTTGACAGGATAATAAATTATTCAACACATTGAACAGATTTGTAGTAATTAGCAACCTCATATTTTCTACTCTGTTTTTATTTTCTCAAAAGACAATGAAACAATAAAATCTATTTTTTTCATATACAAACTAGTATAAAATTTAGTCTTAGGGAATCATACAAACTAACTAGATGCTAATTTGACTTTTTTTTACCTGCTCAAAATAGGAAGAATGCTTGTTTGTTTGTTTGTTTACAGATATTTCCAAACTGCAATTTGTAAATATAAGATAATATTTTCCCGAGTCAACTAATTTCTTCCACCACCAGATTATTAGATAAGTGAAACACAATAATGAAACCACTTTCCTCAGTTGTGTTTCTCTCAATATTTGTTTATAATAATGAGATAACAGTAATTTGGTTACTAATAAAAATGGTAGATTTTTTTCATATAAAAGTTTTTTCTATATTTAGGATTTAAAGAAGCTTTTTAAGATTGACCTGGGCCAAATATATCACGTTTAATAAGAAAACTAAAATTTGTGAAAGTCCTCAATTACTTTGATGCCCTCATTTCACTTTTTAGAAGGAAAAAAAGTAAGATCCTATATCAAGATTATTCATCAAAAAAAGATAGGGAAGAAACAAACTTTCAGTGTAAATCTCTTAATACATCTATATTTATTTACCTTATTATATGAAAAATTATGTTCTAAGAGATAACTTTAAAACTGCAATATCTTTAATCCTGAGAAATATTTAGTTATATTTTGTACTAGACATGTCAAATTTGGGGGTGGGGGCAAGTGTACTAATTGTATAGGAGATATATCTTAGCATGATGTATAGTCAAGTGCATTTTTCATTTTTTTCTGTGAACTTCAAATTTCAAATATATCTTGCTCCTTGTATGTCTTATTAAGATTACATTTTATTGTATTTTAATGGATAAAAACAAATTATAGAGGATGATATAATTGGTAGTATATAAAGTCATTACAAATCTAACACACATCAATTCACTTGTATATTACAGTCACAAAAGCAACCAGCAGTTTTTAGACTGAAATAACCATAATTAGGATTACTTTCATTTATGTTGGATCTGAGAGAGTCAATTCCTCTAAAGGATAGATAATCTTACTTGATTTCATACCAGCCTTTAGAGATAGATATTTATAACTAGGGATTAGGCTAACATAAATCACTGAATTTCTTAGTGTCTAACTTCCAGTGAGCAGCAGAGATGATATCAGAACCAGGCCTGCCATCTTCAAATCCTGGTGGCTTTCCATTCAGCCTTATTCTTGCCCCTAAACAGCAGTTAAGGAAGAGGCAAGAAAACAAAGATGATAACTGTCACTGACTTGAATAATTCCCGCTTCAGGATTACAAGCTGGCTGTTACTAAAGAGGCATCAAGTTTTCTTTAATTTCAATGTAGGATTAGAAAGACCTTGTTTCTATTCCCAGCTGTATAACTTTAGCTGTGTAACCTTAGATAAGTTAATTAACCTCTCTGTGCCTCAAGTCCCTCATCAAAGAGCTATTATTCTAAGAATTAACTTAGATAATGCATTCAAAGCACAATGAGGAAAGCAAAGTGTAAGTGTAGGGCAGCTAATTAATATTATTAATAGAAGGATAAAATACTGAAGAACTTTAAGAGGAAGGAAGAATTCTCACACAGATATAGAAAAAGGAGTTTGGGAATCAAAGCCAGAAAGATTACAAAATTTAGTTAAGGTTAATCAATATTTCATTCATGTTTTTAAAAATGTTGAGTTTTGCTGAGTTAATCCTAGAAAATTCTACTTGTTTTGGCCAAACTATAACCCTAAAGTTTCTGTGAATGTTTATACTCATTTGAAAGTGGTTATGAATACAGTTTATTATTTCCCTGAAGTGTTATCGGAAGTTATGGCTTCCCTAGCATGCTAATGCCACTTAGAGCAGAAAGGAAATTTTAAAATAATACAAGAATTCGTTTGGTTAATCAAAAAAGTGTTTGCAATTTTATAAAAAGAAGTAGGAGAACTTGCCTTTGAAAAACTGTTACACTTGAGAAAATCAGAAAACAACAAATGAGAAAGCAAATAATACAAGGAAGCTAAAATTGGTGCTAATGTACAGATTAAGCAAGTAGGCCAGGAAAGCTTTCCAGTGCAGAGGAGAATTGTATGCTATGACTTCAATCACCTGTTTAAAGTTAGATGTGGATGAGAATGGTTGTGAGTGTGAAATTCAGATCATGATGTCTAGCCAGAGTCATGATATAATAAGAGAATACAATTATCCTAAATAGCTTCCATTTGAAGTAAGATTTTTTGCTTTCTTTGACTAATCAATCTACTAAAATACCAATAAAATATCCCAAACAATAGAATTTAAGGATAAAATAAACCACATTAGCTTTTTAAAATAAAAGCTGAGCCCATAAAATTATATTAAATAAAAGCAAAGTCTTTATAAAGACATGTATTTTTATAAACACCACATTTGTCTGCATGAAACACAGCACACAAAAACTTAAATATTCTAAAATATCTTCTTTTAATGTCTTATTGTAGTAATCATTCTTTAATAATACAAACATAATTTATCTGTAAATGTTAATTGATGCAGTAGTTTTGAAATTGTAAACAGAAGTTTTGAGGTAAGTCTTTCTCCCC